TCTCAAAATCGAGTTTTTGCCCGGACACTGCCTTTAAACACACCTTCATGTATGGATCGCTTTTCTTCGTCGTCCACAGCTCAAAGATGATTGCGGCTGTAAAAGCAGGGCGTCCCATAGGAGCCAAAGCTCGTTTCAAAATACCCATTGAGTCGAGCAATGATGCAATAATGACATCGTGCTAAACAAACACATGAATTACTTGAAGGAGCTCATAAACACTTACCGTTGAGTAAGCGATAAATTTTTTTGTTGAGTTTCCATCAAGCGTTTCTTCCATGTTCTTCATCAACTGCGATAGCATTTTACCTGATCGGGTTTGAATCCAAGTTGGATTGTGGTACTTGCCTACACCAGCCATAAACTGGATAGTCTGAAAATATTTTTATAGTACATTAGCGCTCAAAAAAATTTTCAATCTGAAAAATGACCAAAGCTACTTCAACTTTTCAAGTTTTCTATAGGGAGATTATTGCTTGAGAACAGTTAACAAAATCTTGGTCTTTTTATGTGCTGAGCATTACCAAATCCAGCAAATGGTCAGCCTCTTTCCTTGCATCGTCATCGAACCACTGTGGCACAGCAAGCCCTGATTCGTGCTATAACGAAGAAATGATCCCGAATATGCTTCAAAAAGATAAAAGAGCTGTTTATTCTTTACCTCAAAATATATGGACTCAAAATTCTGCAGTTTTTCTCCGGCTATTTGTGTATAGTTGAGTCGCTCCGACTCGTTTTTGCAAAGTTCTTTTATCAAGTCTTCCTGAGACGTAAAACATTAAAAAAAATTTGAATTTTATTGAGAATAAAACTTACCATTTCGTATGAAGGCCCTTCAACGCCAAGTAACTGTGCCATCTGTCCCAATACTAATGGGCATTGAAGCTGTGGAGCACAAACCTTCAAAAGTGGCACCATTATCAGCGGTAAACATTGTGTGATGCAAACGTACATAGTCTTCATTCATTGGTTTTGTAAATATAGGAGCTGCAATCACTTGATTGCTGGCCGTATGATTGAATATGGCCGAGGA